GTGCCGTGCCGTGTGTGCCCCCTGCTCCGGCCGTGGGGCTGGGGCGGCAGCTCCTGCCGCAGCTCAGCCACCGGTAACTCCGTAATAGGGTGTTTCTTTTCGAGTTCTCGGAGTTCGCTTCCCTGAGAAGCGCTGGGCAATGCCCCCTCCGGGCGAGTTGGGAGCTTAGAACGAGGTCATGAAGCTGGAGCAGCGGTTGCCCAGTCTGATACGCAGAGCCCAACTCGGTGACTTTGGATTCTTCTCTATCCCTCTTCCCCCCGACACCACATCCATCTCGCTCATCCCGCTAGAGCTCAGGCAGGTGAATGTTCCTGCTGCGGCGCTCTGATGGACGCTGCAGCGTTGTTTCTGTAGCGAATTGCTAATTAAAAAAAGAAAAAACGTGAGTCTGTGCCCTACAGCTTTTTAGCCACTCGACTCTGGTGCTTTTCCTGCTCGGTGATGATAAGTAGGTAACTAAACTGTAGTCACTGCTGTTGAAACCTCTTTCCTGAATAGAATACTGAGCTTTGAAGTGCCTCCCCACAAAACAGTGTCCGACTGACAGCCCGTCCGGCCAGGTGCAGCAGTGCAGTGGTGGCTGCCCTTCGAGTTGGGTTGCTAACAATTATTATTTGTGACACGTGACACTTAATGACATGTATGTATGGGTTTAAACGTGCACAGTGGAGTTGGTCTTCATCACACACCTTGCTCATATCAGTGCTTTAGAAAACATTCTGTGGAAACCTAGTGAGGGGCGTTAATTACACTACGGCACCTGAATTGTTCCATTTCTTTGTCTTGAGCCAGGTGCCTTGTTTGTATTACTTTTATAAGGATAATAAGCATTTGGTAGAACTAGACGGTTTGTTTTAAATGCTGTTACATCACTGTTAATCACTCAGTGATTCTGAACTTTTTTAACGCTTTGGTTGAAGGTTGGAGTTCTGCAGACTTAATGCAGTTTATTTGGATGTTATTTCAAATCTGTCCTAGAAATGAATGGATTGGGGAACAATGGCTGTACTTCAGCTATTGCCAAATGAATTATTTCTTAAATACTACCCTAGAGAACGCTTGTTCTTTATTGCATCTCTGGGTTTTGTTGTCCATGCTTGGATCTTCATCTCTTGCTCTTAAGCTGAAAAAGTATGTTGCTTTCCTTGGCCGAATTTCCGGCTCACAATTTCTATAGCTAATTAATAAAGGAAGCTAAAGGCACCAGTGAAAATAATCCCTAGCCAGTGGACTTAAGAGGGGGTGTGAAAGTATTGTTATTAGTCAAAGTCAAGTTTTTAGAATAGCTGTAAAGGCTTGAAAGAAAATTTTGGGGAAAAACTGTCTTTCATGGTGTGTATTTGTATGTCAAAAGAAATTGTGTTTGTTATAAAATGTGTGGTGTGGTTTTTTTTTGTTTTGTTTTGTTTTAAGGTCTGTCACTTCTGCTCTGCTTTGACCGGAAGCTTAGGGAGAGTATTTTGCTGAGGTCTTGGAATGGTTCTTACGGTGTACTTTCATGCTTTAAATCTTGACCAGATCCACCTTAAACCTGCTCTGTTCCTCTCTCTTTCCCACCTACTCCTATGACTTTCACTCTGGGTTAGGTGGTGTTCATTCTCTACCCACACAAATGCTTCTGCCCCTTCGAGAGAAGCTGGTGCAGGAGCAGCGATGTCTTTGGGTGTCAGTGCGGGATTGAGGTACGTACGTCCCTGTTTCCTTAGGCAATACTCGCAGCTGTAATTAGCATATGCTTTTCTGTCAGATGTATTTATATTTTTCAAAGTTTTTATATCTTAAACCTATCCAAATTACTCCAGTATGTTTTTATTGTAAATTTAAATGGCATGCACTCCATGGTTCCTTTTTCTTAAGCTTTCCTGTTCTTCCTGTCTCAAAACCAAAATCAGCCTACCTCCCGTCACCTTTGTGAATGTTTGATTTAAGGCTGTGTAATAACCTTTGAGCTTCTAATGCTAAAATAGATTTTTGTTTGTTTGTTTGCAACCTGTGTACTTCAACTCTCGTTTCTCTTCTTGTGAGATAGCTGGTTCTAGCAAAGCAAATGTGCTTAGTGGTCTACGGTTTGGGCTCAAATACCTGTACGCTTCAGACAGGTGAGGGCAAAAGTGAGCATGCATCTGGAAACTTGGAATCAATGCTTTTGGTTTTGACCTTGAGGGGAAAAAAGTTATCCTTTATAAAATTTAAAACATGGAGAGTAGTTTTCTGGATGGTAAATGGGACTGATAATGGGTCTATGTAGCCAGTTTTGGATACGATTGCTCTACTTCAACACATGGAGGGAGGAAAAAATTACAAGTTTGGTTATGGTCTTTATGTGAAGTAGAGAAGTTCTGACAATTATGGTACTGGAAAACAGAGTTAAAAAGATTAGGAGAAGGGGAAAGTTTTCCATGTCCAGTTCAGTTGAGAAGGAGAAACTAAGAGTGATTTAAGACACCCACAACAACAGTCCTCTGTGCTTGTTCCTCTGGATTTTACATGCCCAGATATTTAAATAAATAAATGCCCATGAGTTTAGCCCTTAAAGCTGCGTGTTCATAACAGAAGCGTGCTGTAAAGCCTGCTCTGGTTGTTTAGTCTTTAAGACACCTTTTTCTGGTGGTAGAATGTGGGTTATTCAGAGAAATGTGTTAACAGTGGTCTCTCTTTATTTCAAATATTTAGTTTTAAAAAAAGACATAAATGTAGACTGGCTATTACTATTACAGATCTTCTTATTTAATGTCTATTTCCCCATAAATAGTTCTGTAAATGTTGTGGTTTTGATAATCTAATGTGATTGAATGATTTTTAATGATGTGATCATAGGGAAATACTTCTTACATTTTGCTGTGAAAAAAACAGAGAACTGTTACAGACCTTTTGTATTCTGTGGTGATCTGAGGTCTGCAATAAGAGGAAACGGTTTGCTAAAGTGTTCTGTTGTTTTCTAATCAACATATTATTTATGGCAGAAATATGATGGCTCAGTCGGATTTAGATCTAAAAGAGACAGCTCTGAAAGAGGATTTGAAGTTTTACTTCATGAACCCGTGTGAAAAATACAGAGCAAGACGTCAAATACCATGGAAACTGGCTTTGCAGATTTTGAAGATACTTATGGTTACTACACAGGTAATTCTTCCTCTGTTCTTACTCTTAGAAAGCGTGGCAGTGATGTGCAGGAGAAGCAGATCTGTGGTTCTGGGGTTTTGCCATCCTGGGATATTTGTTACTGACTTGAACTTCCCGCTTCAATCCAGAAAGAAAAAATGCTGTGAAAGGTGTGTCAAAGAGGAAGAATAGTATAAACTAAATTCCAAAAGCCTCCTGGAGTTTTTGAGGCAGTATTTGACCAGGTATTTTGCTGTTTTTAAGATAACACTTTAAAGCAAAATACTCTTCCCACTGAATCTATCGCTGTCTTCAGGCTGTCACGGTACTGCTCTGTGTTTGCTTCCTGTTAGGTTCATAGATTATAGTTTCACTGGACAGTTTCAAGCATGATTTTTTTCTTGAAATGGACATGTTCAGTGTGGAAATGCTGTGGTCTCTGGGGACGACTGGGCCACAGGAACTGGACGTGCCCCTTGCTTCTGTCACCAAATGGTGCGTTTCACACAGTTGTGTACTGAGATGGGTACAGGCAAAGAGGGTGTGTTAACTGCACTAGTTGGTTATTCTACAGTCCACTAAGAAATGGTGACTGGAGGTGGAGGGAAGAAAAATGGGACGCACGTACAGGTAGAAATTACTTTTCTGAACCTTTGAAATGCAGGACTCTGACATCTGACATTTTGCAAGAACTCCTAAATATACAACTACTAAAAACGTGCTGAGTTGCAGGATTCCCAGTCTGTTTGACTTGCCCACTAGAGTGAAGCGTAACCCCTGGCTTATGTGTCCCTGTGTTTTATTGACTGCTCTCACCCTTCATCTCCCTGTGGGAAGGACAGGACAGGCTCTGGGGCTGGCTTGGTACGGGTCCAGCCTCTGCTGCAGCCAGAGCCCCGACAGGACCCCGGCAACAGCGGGACGCAATGGTCACTGTCTAGGCAAGACTTGCTGAAGTAAGGTATTGACACTAGTGCTGGCACTGTTCTGATCTGTAGTGACAGAGCTGCTGGGAACAGGGAGCCTATTGAGGGAGGAAGGGGCAGTTAGTCTGAGCACAGTGCAAGACAAGAGGATGCCCCATCTTCCTTTACTGGCAGCTGCCCCTCAGGTATGGGTTATTGCCCTTCCTTCAAAGATAGGGCAGTAGCCTCTGTGTGTGAGTAATGAGACAAAATACAACTTCACAGGGCTCCGAAAAGGTTCAGGGCTTCCAATCTGTCCTAACCTGGCTTGCATCCTTGGGGGAACTGCTGAAGGTGTGATTCTCCTGCCTGCTGTCCCCGTCTCCCACTGTCCTTTGCGAGCAGAAGGTGTGCACTGCTGCTTGGCATTCAGAGGCCCCTAGATGTGCTGTGTTGCTGCTTAAGATTTTTCTTGTCACCCCTGGGCCTTGCTCAGATGCCAGGCAGGTAGTCAGCAAGAAGAGGAAAAGGGTTTCTGAAGGAGAATGTGTTGCTGCTCTGCAGGGAGGTCTCACGTATGAGCTAATAGTAGATGGACAGGTTCAACAAGCACCTCTGTTTCAGAGGGAGGGCAAGACCCTTTGTAGGACCACGTAGAAACAAGTTAAGCCGCCTTCTAGCTGCCGCTGCCTGATGCCAGCCTGTTAGCCATGAGACTTGGGGCTCCTTTGGCGTGGTGCAACAGCTGGGGTACCTGTGCCTGACTGAAAAGCAGAAGAGCCTTCTGTCCCAGCACGGGGAGTACGTTTTACTCCAACACTGTGCTGAAATCCCCTAGGGAGTCCCCCAAGGAAACCCTGCTGAGGGGGTTTTATTTCTGTGTATTGCAGCTGGAAGATCCCTGGCTTTTTTAGAGATACTAACGAGAGTGCTGCAGATTTACTCATAGTGCTCAGTTAGTGATGCTTTTGGGTTTGGGTGTGTTTTTCAGTCAAATGGAGATTTAAGTAGTTGATTTAAATCTTGGCTAAAGAATGAAGATTCAGTTCTTAGTCTGAAGACTGTACATAACCAGCGGAGCTGATGTCCCCTTTTCTTTGTCCTGGCCATGGCTTTGCTGTACAACCCATCAGCCTGGCACTAAACAGTCCTGCTGCATGTGTTCTTTTAGCCTGGCCCAGATCTAAGCAATTACTTTTTAGGACAAAAGATAATGTATTCCAGTGAAGAGCGAAAAACTAGGTGTGCTGTCCAGTTTCTGTTGTTCTGAATGAAGGAATTTGGATGATAGTGGAGCCTGCCTGTTTGCTTTGGGGGATTTCTAAGTTCACAGTTCACTTGCTTGCAGTTTCTCACTCTTTCTTCTCTACTTCTGCCAATTTCTTGTGGGGCTTGGAAACTATGCCCCAAAGATGGTTTCATGTTTGCTGCTAGTAAGCTGTTTAAACCTAGGATGAAGTGTTAGCTATTTAGGGCTTGGGATATCTTCCTGCTACTATGCCTGTGAAGAAACTCTTGTTGCTTCATTTTTTCAGCTTCTGGGCTCCATCTATATGTTTTCCTTGGCGGTGGTGGGAATGGGAGCATCTGTATGGTAGGGCAACACAAATCCTGAGTAGTAACTCTGCTGTCAGCTGCTGCTTCTTATTATAGCCTCCTTAACAAGCACCTGGGTCAGGTAGGTGATGATTTTGTTGCTGTGGGGTCCCACATAGGTTTGTTGTGATCCTGTGCTGTGCAGGAATCTGTCCCATAGCAAAGCAGGGCATTTCTGGGGTAGCAGGCTATGCTGTTAGGTTAGCTCTTCCACCATTTGCATCCTCAACAAAAGTTTTGGCAAATTCCAGTTAGAGTTGTTGGTCCAGGATATGTGAAAGGTGGCAGTGATCTAGATGTCTGTTTAGTTGCTGCTTTAAGTTTTGGAATTAGTAGGGGACTTAGATTGCTGTTTCTCTTACCCTGCATATGGTAGCCTTGACCATAATAGTCTTATGGCATCAGTTAACAGATTGTTTGTTCCTATTGTAGCAGGGTTACAGCAGCAGGCACCTTTCCCTTTTGTGTTTATTATAATTCAAAGCTGTTTCCAAAATGTTGCTGCTTGACCATGTTCAAAACGCAAATTTGTGTGTGGGATTTCTTTCTTTTTTTTTTTTTTCCTTCTCTTGCCAGCTTATTTTTTTTGGTTTGAGTAACCAGTTGGTGGTCTCCTTCAAAGAGGAAAACGCTATTGCTTTTAAACACCTATTCCTGAAAGGCTACTCCGGAGTTGATGAAGATGACTACAGCTGCAGTATATATACACAACAGGATGCTTATGATAGCATTTTTTATGTTATTAATCAGGTAAGTGTGTGTGTATGTTTTTATAATGAACAGTGTTAAAGCTGAATCTCCAGCTAAGAAAATCTGCTAAGGTTCTGGTTTTCTGTCTCCATTCTTGGATTTCAGTTTTGATATTAGAGCAAATCACCTTAGGTGGGGTGTCCTGAGGTTTGCACATAGACATCTGCATTTTTGACACTTGGAGATGAATCTAAACCAAAATTTTACTTAGTCAGTGCGTAGTATGGAAATCCAGAAAGTGTGAAAATCAGTCATCTTGCATGAACTGGAACCTGTGTTTAGGTCTGACTTTGAAGAGCTATGGGCCTGGATATACCTCTGCATGGTATTCAAAAAATTTGTACTTACAGCTCTACTGAATCGCAGCTTTGTGTAATGAGTGCCAGAGGCCTCAAAATGGGGAATACGGTACTTCCAGGAATGTAGGGGCACTCTCCCTGGTTCAGGATGGTATTTTAAGGAACAGTCCCTTTACAATCATGGGAGGAAAATGAATAAATCTAGGATGAAAACTCAGTAAACATTTTTGTATTTAATATGAAGACATTTTGAAGTCACGAAATGGAAGAGTGTATGTGTGGAAAATTAAATGTCTTGTGTTTGGGGATAAGCCCATCCACCTGGAGGAATGTAAAGTGACTTTAAACGACCTATTTTCTTCCCGACCTTGGGACATTATCTCTGACACTTGGTTTAGGGTGGTTTTGTCGCCATCAGTTATGCCTGGCAGGTACCTGGGAGTCACAGTGGTGTGAAGGAGGTGCGACACCTTCTTAAACACGCGCTCACAGGGCCCTGCTGCCCCTTGGCCGTCGCCTCTAAGCCTCAGCAGAGCCATCAACAGGTCAGATGTGCTCTCTGCTGTGCTGGACAAGGCCAAGACTCTCACTCCGGGTGTGTTAAATTAGTGTTGAAGTAGTTTTCTCAGTCTTCCTTTGAACTCTCAATATTGCCACTACCTCTGCTACAAACTGTGCTGCTTTGTTTCTTCCTTGCTTGCTTTGTCTCACTTTCCTTCTTTTGTAGGCACTAAGGCTGAGGTGAAGTCCAGATAGAAGACAGTAGAGAAATAATAGCTTTATATCCTCAAGAATGAGCCCATGTGAGCAAATGCAGGCATCAAAAAGGTCTCTTCATAAAATGTCTATGTTGTGTAAATGTAGACATGTCCTTTAAGGAGATTAAACCTGTATGAACTGGATTCTTTAGTGTCACGTGGAATTTCTGAGGCTTTTTTATCACATGTAAGACTTCAAAAAGTGTGCCTCCAGGTGAACGTTACGACTGGTGTTGCTTATTTGGGGTGTTTTTTTGTTTGCTAAAGGATGCCTTCTAGGAAGAGCCAACCCAGGTGACTGCTACGCTAAAAGCAAGGCTTTTTTTATTGAGATGGGCAGCTAGAAGCCATAGGTTTTGATGTTTTGTTTTGAGTTTTAATTTGAAATGTGGTAGGTGGGGCAAGCAGAAAGGTATGATGCTACTGGAGATGGTAGTGGTGCACAGCAAAACTGGAGTTGTAAAAACTGAATTTTAGGCATTGTCATGTACCACATGAAAATGTGATATTTTCACACTTTGGGGAAAACAAACAAACCAACAAAAACCAAACACACTTTTCCAGTTGGAAGAGTACACAGCTTTTTCCTTAGTCCTCTCCGTAAGTTCCTCTTACGAAGAAGCCGTGCAGAGTTTTAGCACTTGCACCCTGCCCTGCAGCAGAGTCTGTAGGACCAGGGTGTTCTGCTGGCTGCTCTGCCTGAGGCTGCTTAGAAATGCATAAGCAGGAATTTTGCTTTTACCGTTTCATTGTGGTGTTTGGAAGGGGTATGTGAATAACCCAGAGCCACGTGTTACGCTGTCAGGAGGGCAGAGCCTGAAAGCACACGTGGATGGAGGAACGGCTGTTGATGCAGTGATCTGGAGGTGTCCTCAGAGGGATGTGGGCTTGTGACTAACTACTGTTTCCACTCACTTGACCAGCCTTAGTCAGACTTGGCTTCCTTAGCTCACTCTGAGTTAAGATAACGTTCTGACGGGGTACAGGGGCTGTGCTTTTTTCCCGGGCTGTCTAAACTTGTTGCAAGCTCAGCTGTGAGAACTCAAAGCGGCAGAGCTTTGGGTGGAAATGTGGTAATTGCTGTTACAGTTCCATTTGGACATGGAGCACGTGGTTGTTAATGACTACTGGGATTTTGTACCCCACAACATGGGCTAGTGGCCATAATGCCCATAGGAAGGAGGAAATGGGATGACACAGAATAATGCATAATAACAAGATCTGTTTTAAAGGCAAAAGGGTCTAATCAAAGCCAGCTGAACAATTTTTAAAGAATAAAGTCTTGTCTGACTTCCCACATCTATTTCAGGCCTCCTGGGAAGCTTAATGCTTCCCCCCGAGCAGACCAGTGCTGTACACTGCCCAGAGCTCTTTAGCTAGGAAAAAGCTATATTGATACACATAACTTGGAGATTGCAAGTTACTATCTAATGCAAAAAAGATTATTTCTGTAACTTCTGCTTCTGTTTTGTTTTTAAACTAGTACAGGCAATTAAAGAATATATCCTTGGGGACGCTTGGTTATGAACATGAAGGATCAGGTTTAAAAATCTGTAAACAACAGTACAAGAAAGGCACAATGCTTCCTTCCAATGATACGCTGGCCATAGATGTTTCTACTGAAACAGGTATGTGGTACTGTTGTACTAAAAAATGTCTTGCTGTGGAGTACTTGTATTCTAATGCTAAATCAGTAAAACTTAAAACCAATAGCTTTTTGTGTGGCAATCACAGGAACATTACCATGCCTCTTGCCTATTTCCCTCTTGGTTTTCAATACCTGCCTAGAAATGACAGCTCTGTAGACAAATAGGAAGCTCTTTCAACTGCTGTCATTAGTGGGTTGTGGAGGTGTGTTTGTGGCTGGTTTTGTGGTCTCCCTCCACCCATGCAGAAAGTTAAAATACAGAATTCCCGATGTTGGTCATCCTGTCCCTTCAGTGGGTGGGTGTCCTTACTGCCTCTGAGCTGAGTCCTGGCTGCTATTGCTCAAGTCATGCACCTGCTTTGGATCCCACTAACTAGACCTCTGTATGGAGAAGTTTGCTCAAAATTAACATTTTTGCCTGATTAGGACTTGCCATTCAACCTGATCATCTCAGTTTGATGCTGCTTTCTAGGTGAGGAAAAGCTGTAATCTTAATAACTTCTTCTCTTTACAGAATGTATCTTTTTAAAGCCACAGGAGCTAGCTGCTAAGGCTGAACTGAAGCTGAACTCCTCTTTTTTCAATCTTGAATTTTACAGGTAAAGCGGTGGTGGGGATTTTTGTTACTTCAGCTTGTCCTTTCCTATGAATCTGGTGGATTCTGATTTGTGCATTTTATGGTGGTTTTTTTTTTTGTGTGTGTATTCAAATATATTTATACACTTTTTAAAACATCCAGGCTTATACAGGTTGAAGTCTCCTTCAAGCTGAAAGGCATTGCTCTACAGACAATCCATGCCCGTGAATTGCCTGACTGCTATGCATTTCAAAATACTGTAAGTGAATATGGGGTATGGCACTTCCAACACAGCATATGTAACAAGAGCTTAAGCTGAGGTGTAGGCATCATACTTGGATGTAGGCTGCAAGGGAGAAGCAGTTGAGCATGTCCTGTCCCTTACTCCTGCTTGCCAAACGCTGCTGAAATGGTGCTGCCATGGGACAATGTTGTTTAGTGACATACTCCAGCTGGTAACCTCATAACCTGAAAAGGGGATAAGTAATTGTTATTCTGCTAAGGGTTAAACTTGAAGTTTGGCTTCTTGGAATACCGCTTGTTTTTTATGTGATACGTGACATTCTCAAATTATGTCTACACCATCGTTTATGGCGACAGCTTTCTTAAAGCTTACCTGACTAACTAATATTAATGCATAATATATCAAAGCACTTAGTAAGATTTGTTTTCTGGAATGAAATTTTGCTAGTCTTGCTTCTGAAATATTTCTGTGTTTCCAGATAACTTTCAATAATAGAGCCCACAGTGGAAAAATCAAGATCTATTTTGACAGTGACACTGATATTCAGGAATGCAAAGACTGGCACATATTTGGTTCTGGTAAGTATGGTGCATGTGTGCTTGCATGATAGCAGCATTATGCATCTCCCATCACTTCCCCTGCTTTTTAACAGTCTGTCCAGCAAGACATTCCCCATCCTGTTCATCCCCCTCCTGCCCTTAAAACAAGACAAAAAAAACCCCAAACCTTACCTAATGCAACTCACTACCTCTTTGTAATTAAGAGCTGGGAAATATTTCCTTTTTTGTGATGGGCGCTGAGGTGAGATGACACTGGCATCTCTGTACACCCGTGTGTTAGCAGCATGCTCTATCTGGAAGAAGGATTAATGTTTCTTCTATAGGTTTAAATTGTTCTGCTGCTCTGAGATTACTCAAGTGATTTCATGCACTAACAATGGTAAATTCCCAACTCAAACCTTCTACAGCTTTCAATTTTTTTCCATCTAACTAATTGAATCATACTATTTCTGAAAATAGAGATTTTTTTTTTCCTCACTGCTGCTAGATTTAATGATATGCCTGAGCAACAGGAGGGCATCTGCCTTGTATTTCTAGTGCTAAGTGTATTTCTGACAGCTAAGGGATGTGCACTAAAGGCCCTTTCAGAGGAACAGCAGCTGTGACAGAGTACTGTGGAACTGCTGCTCCCATGTGTTGACTGTAGAGGAGTGATAGTTTTCAGTGCACCATATAGGATCTCGATGAACAAATATGTCAAATGGCCTGCCTCTTCCCTGGGCAAAGCCATCTTTTCTCTGATAATACCATGTTGTATCTATATTAAAGTGGTTTCTTGTAGTACATTCTGAATAACCACAGAGTGCTTTAGCTTGCATCCTTGTGCAATAATTTCTTGTGACTACCTTTCAACTAGCTGTTCTTGAGTAGTTTATTTTGCCTGTAATAACCAGTTGAGGGAGCATGCATAATTCTGTCATAAAGGTGAGCTGAAGTGCTATTACAAAAATTAGAAAAGAGTGTTAGCTTACATTTCATATAGTTAAAATCTGTGTTGTGAAGAAGGTAGGGACAATTGATATGAATAAGCAAATTATAACACCTGATTTGACTTCACATGATGGCTTCTAAACCTGTGGATAAAAAGAATACAGTACAGAAAGTCAAACGAGTTTCTGACTGCAGGTCACAGAATGAGATGATGGGATTTTTTTTTTTTAATTTAATGGTGTTGATATGGGCCAAAGTCTGCATTTCTATTACCCTGTGGAGTTGTAACACTGTTGGAACACAGATGACCAGGTAAACTTAGTGGGGAAAAAGGCACATCTGTATTAATATACCCATTTTTGGGTTCATTTTGAATAACTTGAACATGCCTTTCATTCTTGTGGCCCAGTCTCCATAGGTGTCTTGATGTAATTCTCTAGTCAGTTGTGCTCAAGAAATGCCTGCAGGAAGAATATTTCTTATAACCCATCTATGGGGTGAGAGTGTTTAAGTGCAAAGTATGTGACATGTTGCAACTAATTTGTGCTCGAAGTGGTGTGCAAAGACTAACTCTACTTCTTTTCCTTGATACTTTACAGTTCTCCAGAAGAACACTCAGTATATTCTAGTCTTTGATGGATTTGTCATTCTAAGTTGCTTTGCTTCTCTCATCCTCTGCACACGATCCATTGTTCTTGCCTTGAGACTACAAAAGGTAAGTACAGTGCTCATAATCTCAGTGCTTATTTTGTCTCTGTCTGGTTTGCTGCTAGTTATGTAAAGTGCTATCTTCTGAAAAGTGGAGTAGTAAATCTGTTGCAGGATGTTGCTCTCCTACTGTTACCTCTATCCCTAGAAAGGATGTGTATATGTCTGTGGTGAACAGTTACTATGAGTGGGTTCTGTTTGTTTGGTGCTGCAATATGAAGTATCTTGTTGTATCTCTTAAGGGCAAAAGAATATTTTTTTTTTTTTCCCCAGGATTTTGCACAAAAAGACTTCTGAGCCTTTGTGCTGTTAACAGCCAATACATCCTGCATGTTCAAAACATTAATTCTTCCTTCCTTGGCTTCAGAGTAGAATTACCATAGGGTCTTTGCCATAAATTAATGCTTTAATGAACATCCCTGAAAACCAGCTCTGACTGGAGAAAATGTAAACCACAGCATATAGTCTAACTTTGGCTGGGATTTTTGGTCTTTCTGGCACTGGAACCACCTTCTGTCGGTTCTTTCCTTTTCCCTCCACAATGCTGGTAATCTCCTGTCACCTTCGTCCCTGCTTAGTCTCCTTTGCAGACTGAGAGAAGCCCTGTCCAACTTCATCTCAAGCTGCTTGTAGAGCATCATGTAAGCAGTCTCAGCTCTTCTGGTCCCTGCAGAAACATAAACTGGGCCCTGAGATGTGTCATTTTCTAACCATTCATTGATACAAAATTTTCAAGCATGTGGCTTATTAGAGTTGGGGGGGAAAAAAAAAGAGTTGAGGATAGGTAGGATATGAAAGCAGAGACACTTGATATATTGAACAAGATAGAGTAGGATATGAAAGCAGAGACACTTGTCTATCTTGTTCAATATATCATTTTATAGTTTGTAAACAAGATGATTGAAGAGGACACAGTTTGGCAGAGGCACTGTCAAACTGCTGTCAGGAATAGGGGTATCAGCATTTATTCATGAGCAAAAAGAGCAAGTGAAAGCAGATAGGCAGCGTTGGGTATGAGAAGTGATGTCAGCTCTATTGGAAATGAGAACTCTTGCTGTCTAGTTGTATTTGAGTTAATAATTTTCTTTTTTGCTCCCTTAGTTCAGTGACCTTGCTCTGTCTGAGGTGGATAGAAAACCTTTTGCGAATGGGGGCTAAAAGGGGATAACAAGCCATGGTTGGGCTAGTGGGAATTGGTTCTGAAGTTAGCTGTTCTGTGGAAAGTTGGTTTTCACTGGTGTAAACCAATCCTAATTCTTTTCCTATTTATTCCTGTTGCTATTGAGAGTTTAAGCCATTATTCCAGAAAATACTATAGAAAAAGGGGGTATGTGAAACTTCAGCATTGCTACACTACTGGGATATCTGTACATATTTATCTAAGGTGACCTGTAACTAAACACCTAAATGCTTGTCAATAGAGATTTGTGAACTACTTCTTGGAGAAATATAAGCGTCATGTCTGTCACGCGGATCGCCTGGAGTTCATAAATGGATGGTATGTCCTGGTAATTATCAGTGATGTGATGACAATCATTGGGTCAATCCTAAAAATGGAAATAAAAGCCAAGGTGAGATTTTAATACTTCAGGTAAAATACTAGGCTTATTAAAGCCATGTGTGATGTGTTTTGACTTGGGGACCAATGAAAGTGAAATAGTCACTAATCCTCTTGCTAACTTTTGCTAGTTCTTATTTCTTCATTTCCTAGTGTTAGTTTAACTAATAACTGGTTTCAATCCCTTTTTCCCCAAAGTCTTCAGTAAGACCATGTGAGCTATTTAAACATCTTACTTACACAACGCTAAGACCCCTAAGCCCTGATATAGGACCTGCTGGTAGACAGTTCCTGACAACAACAAAAAAGAAACAAACCCAAACCTACAAACTTGAGTTGTTTCTGTAAGAAGTAGAAGGGCATATTGTACAGTGAAACTAAGAGTCATCATCCTCTTGGATAAAACAGGGGTCCTGATGGCTTGTGGGTCTGGAAACATGCCTGTTACAGGTTGCTTTTCTGGCCTGTCCAAACTACAGGCACAGTGTCACCTTGCTAGTCCTTGACCTTCCAGTCTGGGCTTGCTGAAATCAGTGCTTTTTCTCCAGCTGGCAACTCTTCAGGGAGATTTTTTGTTTGGTTTTTTGTTTTTCTCCTCATTTAGACTTTTTGTTTGGTTTTTTGTTTGTTTTCTCCTCATTTAGAGCTGTATGTCAACAATTCGTGTGTTCACAAAACTTTGTATTCTGGGAAAACCAGGGTAGGTAGAGTGCTGCTCGGGCCTCGTGTGCTGAGGCTCAAAGGGCAGAAGCCCAGAGTGGCCCTCAGAGGAGGTGTGTGAGAACCTCCAGCTGCATGGTGAGCTGGGGGGGATGAGGGTAGGAAGCTACGTGGGTGTCTTGTGCTTGTTGCAACCGGTTCAACCCTTCTAAAGTAAAATGCAAGTAGAATTGGTTATAAAGATCACTGGTACTAAAAATGATGTTCAGGCTCCGAAAAGCTGACCGCCTGTTCAGAGATGTAAATGCGTGTAGTGTGGAAAGGGTTGCAGTCCTGAGGCCCCCCATTTCATTAAAATGATGGCTCATGTTTTTATAAACAGCGAACAAGAGCTTGTTTGCCTAACACTGGTATATATTAACCTTATTTTTAAACAAAAATCTGAAGGTATTCAGTCTAATTTTAAAACTGTGTTGTAGCCAAAGTCAGGGCTTTAGTTCTTGAGACTTCACGTAAATCATCAAGAATATCCGTGTAGATGTGTTTCCGTTTGCAGCACTGTTGCATTTGAAACAGTGATCTCGGTAAATACCTGCAGTTTACTTGGGTCTGATTTTTGTGATGTGTGTCCTTTCACTATTGGACTGCCCTGCTTTGTTTGAACTGCTGGAACTCAAATAGCTGTCAAGCTGATGTACCTACTGCTTTTGTAACTCCTCTGTTTGGATCCCTCAGAACCTCACAAGTTATGATATCTGCAGCATTTTACTTGGAACATCAACTTTGTTTGTCTGGGTTGGAGTCATCAGATACCTGGGATATTTTCAAACCTACAATGTAAGGCGGGAATCAAATATTTAACAATTAAAGCATTTATTTCTGTCTCACTCTCAGGTTTCTTTTAACTTGTGGCTTTTTTCCCCTTCTTTCCTCCACCCTGACTTGTAGGTGCTCATCTTAACTATGCAGGCGTCATTGCCCAAAGTGCTAAGGTTTTGTTGTTGTGCTGGGATGATTTATCTTGGCTATACTTTCTGTGGTTGGATTGTCCTGGGACCGTACCATGAAAAGGTATGTCAGCAGTATCACTCCTTTTCTGATCTAACAACACATGAATATCTCTGTGTGTGTAGCTCCTGGTTATAACAACAGAAACAGGTCTGAAATTCACGTTTCTGTTGAAAAGCTGTAACATGAAGAATGTGGGAGTGTTTCCTTCCATGTCTACCTACTGCCACCTGCTCCTTTTAACAAATAACTGTATTCTTGCTTGCACTGTGTGCTGGAACTCCATGTAAACTCCAACATGAGGCTGTGTTCGTGGTGAGTGGGTGGTTTATCCAGGCAATGTCTGGCTGGGGACTAAAGCTGTATTGGTCTGTATCTCTTTCGCCCTCTTCTGGCAATCCCAGTTCGGGTGGGTTGAAGAGGCACTAGCTAGTTCAGTTACCATTTCTGGGAATCTCCTTGGCTCTGACTCTGGTTTACCAAATCCTTCCCATGCCATGTAACTTCAGTTTATAAATCTGGATTGCATGGATGAATGCTTGTCTTGTTTGCTTTGCTTGCGGGGTGTGTGTGTGTGTGTGTTCTGGGGATTGTTGTTCGGATTGGGGTTTTTTTCTCTTTTAAGGTTGATATCAAAGTGTGAGCCCGGTATATCATCTTGTCTGAAACCTGGTTACAGGAGTAAGGCTTTCTATATTCCAAACCAGGAACTAAACCAACTGCAAAGCTTGAGGTGTGCTTTATGTGACAGTCTGGGGGGGAAAAAAAAAAAGGCAGATTCCTGTTGTGACAAATTCTAGGTGTCCATTAATGAGTAACAACTGTATGATTTCTTGCTCTCTGGTTAAACACGGTGTGTGTTGTAACGGAGACACATGCTGCAGTGCTTGCTTCAGCTTCTTGTTTTCCCAGAGCTCTAACATAATGTGATTCCTCTAACATAATTTAATTCCTTTGAGAAATGTAGGTATTCAGTCGCACATGTTTTAAGTTGATGAGAATACATTTCTCTGTGGGATGGTGGATGCTGTGGGATCCTCTGTCATACTAGAGGCTCAATTGTTTATAACAGGCACAGCATAAATACTGTTGTAACTTCCCTGCAGCAAGCACATTAATTTTCTGAGCAAAAGGAAGTGTAGTCAATAATATGCTTATCTATGAAAATGTTACATCTTGCTCAATATCACAGATCAGTGTCAAGGAAAGCAGTTGTGCCTGTGTGGGGGCTTTCTTTTTCTGACAGTTCCCCAGTACCCCACTGGAAGGCAGTGTGGCACTGCGCAGTGGATAATGGCTTCAGAAGTAAATACATAAATTTAATAATAATACTAAAATCAGCCAGAGGTAAAACCAGACCTGCTGTTCCTGTGCAACACTATGTTCTCCTTACAAGCATACACCTCTTGACGTCTTGTTTTCAATACAGGACTGCAGTTCAGGTGAATGTAGTCATGTTATTTCATTGATAATAGCTATGCTAAAACATTGTGCATTAACTTCATTGCCCAATGAAGTGTAGTTAACAAATTCGGCTCTTTGGAGGGGCAGAGCAGGTTAGAGGAAGTGTGCTTTCTTGGTGGCTGAATGGAACTTAGCCTCAAGGCATATTCCAGCTTGGGGAAATGGGGTTAGGAATTTAAGGGAATGTCCTTGAAATGAAACGACAATTTTATCCAGGGTGTGTGTGTCTGTAGCTTCACAATACAGATGTGGCTTGTACCTACAGCTCAGAGAGGGCTTTCTGAATGACAGGCAGATGATGTTATTGCAAGACAAATCTAGTTTAGACCATTTGAGCTCTGAAGGCTACATGCTATCTCTAATTCCTTAATACAATAGTGATTAATAACCCATACTCCAGTAATGCTGCAGAGCTGGGAAACCAGAGGATGTGGATTCTGTTCCCAGCATACTACCACTGATTTACTGTATAGATTCTATGAAATCACTTTAACTGTGCTTTGGCAAACGTAATGATATTTTCCTTCTGGTACAAAATTGCTTAGAACTCAGTAACTTTCTGTGGTGGTCAGTTATTGACTGCTTTGCCTGTTGAGCATCACAAGTTTATTTCTTGGTAATAAGGCTTATTTCTGATGTCAATATATAATGATTAAGCAAGATTATATTTCTACATGGTTCTATTACTGACATGTACGTTTTGGCCTGAATTTACAGGAAAAAGCATGGTAGCATTTGATTGACTGGGTTTGCTTTTTTACTTGTTAGGAGTAAAACTCAGGAAAAGAAAAACCTAAACAAACAAAAACCCCCTAAAACAAAACCACACACACAAAGAAAACCCCACTTACTTTTGTTTATATGACACTTCTCACTTTCCCATTATTCTGGATGATTGATCTTCAGATTCTATTAATAACTTGTACTCATTATTTTCTAGTTTGAAGACCTGAACACCGTGGCTGAGTGTCTGTTTTCTTTGGTCAACGGTGATGATATGTTTGCGACATTTGCTCAAATCCAGCAGAAGAGCATGCTGGTGTGGGTGTTCAGTCGGTTGTATCTGTATTCCTTCATTAGCCTGTTTATATACATGATCCTCAGCCTTTTTATTGCACTCATTACTGACTCCTATGACACCATAAAGGTAAAAAATTTGCTTTCTTCTGCACTTCTAATTAGTTTTGTATTCATTTTTTGTTAATCACTCAACACCACACTATAGCATTAGTTATGATGACTGGTAAGGTATTCATTAGCTTAGTCTGGGGTGAAATTGGGAGGATGACTGGGTACTCATCCAAAGGACTAAACAATATTTGGTTTAGAAAATCATTCTTAGTTTGTGTCCTTGTTTTGTATTTTCTACTGCTTCACCTGGCTTCAAAAAGGTAGCAGTTAATGGAAATATAAGTGGAAGGATGAGAAAGAGCCCATTTTTAAGTATAGGTACACAGAGCAGGGAAAAGTCTTGTTTGGAGTGAACATTTCTTCTCATGACACCAGCAGCTGAGGTCAGGAAGGGTTTGCTGGCATCTTGGAGAGTATCCCCTTGGCAAGAGTGTGGCAGGGGCCAAGCAGATAACTCTAAACTCATTTAGGCATCCAGGCTTGCTTAATGTGCCTCTTGGAAACGCGTGGTTGAAAAGAAACGTCTTCTGAAAGACCCACTTCTCGTTCAAGTGAAGATTGCACCATCCCCTTCCAGTATAAACTGGCTGAAAGCAAAATGAAAATTTCAGTAATTGCCTTTTGGTCTTGTCCTCTAGTGCTGTCTCCCCACAGCTTTACTATTGCTCTTCACTCTGAGCACTTCATGTGGATCAATGGGGAGCCGTTTCGGTGTGCTGGGCGGTTCTTCAGCATGGCAGCGCTGAATAGCCACGTTAGGGCCCTTCAAATCCAGCACTGGGGTTCCTAGGGAAAATGAGCCCAGGGCACTCCAAGTGAGCACAGCAGTTGATATGACCAAGGGAAAATCACTGCCAGCATGACTTGAGATCACATGCTTGGTCTTACGGACAGCGAAGTGTAAGAGAATCTGTGAACAATGAATTTTCTGTCACTTAGATTGCTTTGTTCCACTGACCACATATGTGGTATTTCTAAGTTAGGATTAGTGTTTTTTGGTTTTGTTGTGTGTTTTTTCCCAATACTGAACAAATGACCCAAATATTCTGGTTTTGGCTATCACACTCTGGAGGAAGGTGCCCATTCTTGTGTTGTGAATAAAATGCTTTTCTCTTTCAGAAATACCAACAAAGTGGGTTTCCAGTAACAGATCTGCACGAATTTCTAAAAGACCATGGCAGTGCTGGTTACAGAAAAGAACGGACTTCCATGCCATTCATCTGCTGCTGTAGGAGGTCAGTAGGGTGTTCTTAAATGAGTTTTTTTTCAGAAGTGCAGCAGTTAGCTTCTCACTGCAAAGTGCTGTTTCACAAACGCTGGAGCACCCAGAATTCAGCCCGTGGAATATTTGGACACTTTTGTTCCACTTCTGCTTTACTTGGTGTTGGATCCTTAGTCTGCTGACTGCAGGGGTGTCAATTCTGAGCTTAACTGTGTATGGTTTAAGTGTTTTGCTCATATGAAAGCTACTGTGCAGAAACTGGTGGAAGTTGATGGGAGGACTGCAGAGTATAATGTGGAACTGCCAAGAAATCAGGAGCAAACTAAGTCACTGCTTCTTAGGGTTTTGCAAGTCTTCTGTCTTTAAAGAGCTTTTTCACTAGGCTAGGAGTAGTATGAGGAAAAAGAATGTGATTCAGCCAGGTAGCAGCACTTAATCTCAAAGCCATGCTATGGCTGTGAGGCAAACCAATGGTATTGAACTGGAAACACACTTCTAAGTGTCTGGTTGCCAACCAAACTCAAGCCTTCAGAGGTCTTAGCAATGGTCCTTTTTAAGCTGATTTTGGTGAGAGATGAGCATCTCGCCTGGTGCTTGTTGGTCTGGAAGTCAATTCTTTGAATTCTGTTTTGGGGAAAACCTAACACCTCTGAATCACTGTCCCTAAGCAGTCTGAGAGAATTCATGCTTGTGCACTGAATGGTCATGGGCACCGTCTAAAAGCCACGCTATGGAAGAAGGGATAGAGCTGGACACTTACTCAGTCCCAACTAGTGCAACAAATTCTATTTCATCAGTAGGATACATGTCTACTTACATACTGAGGCTTTTGTGAAATCAACTTTATACTTTTGATGGGCTTGGCTATGAGGTTTCCATCTGCTTAAAAAAGGAGCATGTGAGACGATGCTGGGCGGGTATCCCAGCAGTTACTGTGGACGCTTGAAAGCCGACTGGTTCGTAACAACTCCAGCCAGGTACAGCTTCAGGTTTCACATACAAGTCATAGTGTGGGATGAGAGATGATTGTCTGCTTGGGCATAATAAAAATGCTTTACTGTAATACAGTGCAGAGTGTTGAGGGCACAAGTCTGGTAGCTGTAGTGAAAATCTAGAGCTTTTACTACTATAGCAGTTTCTACTTGACTGTCCCAGTGCAGGTGTTGGAGGTGTATGCTGAAATGGGAGAGCACAGAACAGAAGGATCAAAACTCAACTTGGTTTTGTAGGGGTAAATGCTTCCTGTTGTATTTCTTGCTGAATGAAAATTTCTGAATTTTTTCTTTTGCAGACAACAGAGTGATGACAACCTGATACTTATTAATTGATGATCACACATTGAAAATCACCACTGATGCATACATAGAAAGCACAGTTTTATGGAGAAGAATAATTCTCCAAGTTGCAATGAAATCCACTATCTAGACCTGCCATGTGAACAGACTAATGAAGGCGTTGGGAAGAAAAGCTGCTAGAGTGACAGCAGCCGGCTGACCAGGAGGAGAGCCCGGAAGCTGTGTCTGGAGGAGAGCTGTGAAGAACTCTCCATTCTTGTCCCAAGTTCTGCCACATTAAAGAATGCTGATCCTGGAGCATTGTCCATGGGAGCTCTGTTTGCTAAGCACCTCTGGGAGGAAGAAAAGTGGCCCTGAATCAACTACTCTTGTTAATAAGAAAAAGAATTGTATGAAAATAACATGGAATTATTTTTTAAAAGTTGAATAAAAGGTGGTCAAGAAAATGAGTGGACTTTTTCACTTAGTAATGCCTTCAGCCTGCAATTTTTACTTGGCACAATCAATTTTCTTGAAATTTATGTAAAACAGCAAAGCTGCGCAGAAATGCAAAGTAATTGCCGTTATCCCTCTTGTATATCATTTGAACACAAACCATTTATAGATTGGTCTTCAACAGCTTTACTAAAAACAAAAGCAGTTTGTTATCCTATGTTTTTGGCTGCGAGTCTTTTCTATTATAGCCACGATATTTGTGTACTGTGTCCAAATTAAACTTACTACTTTAACTATGGGTAAATACTTTTTTTGCATGGCTGGAAACTTCCATGGCAAGTATCACATGAAGGATGATGGAAAGATTATTGCATGCTTTTTTTTTTTTCTATATTGTACTATTGTGTTGCCAAAACCTGGAGGACAAATTCAGGCTAAAACAATGCCATGGAGTTAACTTGCCTAATTACTTCTATTTCAAGCAAATGTTAATTGGAAGATATTTTCTTCCACTTAACACTGGAAGTTAATTGTAGTCTGGCAGTTGGTTTGTTCAGGTGACTTTCTACGTGCCTTTGGAATGGTCATCTGTGAAGTACTGTATTTTCCTCTTTGGTCTTTATAAACGTTTTTTTAGTGGAAATGGAGCACTTTCTGTAGCTTTAAAGGACTGCCAGTATAATACTGCCTGGTGTTACCAGGTGCTTCTGAAAACTTCCAGAGGTACTGACTGCCCCTGGAGTGGGTGAACTGTCCTGTCAGATGCTCCAGTCTGTCTAAATGGGGCTGTCTGCTCCCTAAAAAACCTGCCTGTAGCAGATGATGCTCACTTCAGCCAGAGTGTGTTGACTAGGACTTGGTCCTGATATGTGTTCTTAACTACTAACAGTGGAATCTGCAAATTCTGGCTTGTTGGAGTTTCAGAGGGCAAAGGCAATTTGAAATGCTGCCCTGGTCGGAGTAAGGTGAGTGGCAGCTTTTTTTTTTTTTCCCCCTCCCTTCTGGGTAACTGGAGAGTGGGGGAAAAAACAATGCTGGATTCACACCTTTTTTTGGTAGGCTGAAAAAACCCATCTCTTTTAACAGGTCTGCATTCTCTGTCTCCTGAGATTCTTAAAGAAGAGAGGGTAATAACTGCAGCTTCTCCAGCCTTCCATGGTACCTTTACCACCAGGTAAGAGCAATGGTGACTGAGGTCTGGAAGGATGTGCTGGAAATACTAGGCAGGAAGGATTTGAACAGCCTTCTTGACAACAAAGAATACCTTTTTTTGTTGGAAATGAATGCCATTTTGCCTTGCCTAGGCTGCAGCTAGATACCTAGAAGAGATGGTTTTCCTGCCAGTATCCAGGCTCTGCAAATTTTAATGCTTCTCTTGCCGAGATGCCTTTGGGACAGTTTTCTCCCCATCCTAGCCTGAGCAATGCTTTGCTGTGGACTCAGCTGACACTACAGCGTGTGGATAAAAATTAAATTGCTACCAATAACCAAGACTTCACACTGTTAGCAAAGATTTTCTGTACTTCTCTGTTTAATGAGAAGACACTAACTGTGTGATCTAGAGCAAAGGATTATTGTCTTCCACTCAGGACAGAAGAGTCAGTTTTTCTCCTGGTGTTCACATGTAGAACTTGTTGGGGTCAGCATTGGTCTTTTAGTGTATGCTCTGGGGCCCTGGATAATCCAAGTGTTCTTCTGCAGGCTGCAGAGGTGATCAGCATTAACTGCTGGCTAGCAGAGTTTCTTGGCCCAACAGTGTGCAAGCTTGACTTGGTTATGTGTTTTCTGTATGTGCTGCTATTTTATTGGTAGCTTTTGGGAATGTCTCTTTCTAAATCAATCAGTTTCCTAGTAAACAGGACCAAAATCTAGCACATCTGAAAATGGATTGTATTTTCCTTACTGTTCTACCTTCTGCCAGTTCTCAGGGAAATCTTAGGTTAGAGACTTGAACCTAGGAGAAGCAGATAATTAATGCTGTTAGTGGATAATTAGCCATATAATGTGTTCCAGTATGTGTCGCCCTGATGGGGCATACTGCCCCACGGGTTTGTATGTGCCTCCCAGGGCTCTCGCCTGAGTGGGCACGTTCCGCATCTCTTGTGACTATGAGATGTTGCCATTTCTGATGGATACGAACTGCCAACTCCTGACTGCAGCAGGGCAAATCCTTGGGCTTGGATTTCTTTCTCCTTTCAGCTCTTTTTTTTTTTTTTTTCAGTGTGGCCTGAGGTAGGACAGCAGGTTGTGGAAGTGCCTTCTGGTTATGTGATAGGCTCGTTGCCTTCCGAGGTCTAGGGGCTCCCTTCCTTAAAGCAGGTGAGGTACGTCCTGTACCCTCAGCACCGTGAGTCACGGTGCAGGAGCCCCTAAGCTTGGACTCAAACTGCTGATTCCCAGTTTAGTAGGACCTAGTGAGTGTGACCTGCCAAAGCCACTGCTTAGATAAATACCTGCTTGTGAGAGCTTCCTCAGGGAATGAGGGAAAGTGTTACCAGTGAAAGGAATGTAGAAAATACATATAATTCTTGTTGATTTTAAGGCAATTTCTGTAATGGAATCGTAAAACTTTCTTGTCCAGGATTGATTTTATTTTCTTAATCACATGAGCTGCTTGCTAGCTAGACTACTGCTTCAGCCCTGCCATATCAGAGCAGGTCACTGATGTATTCTGAAGACACAAATTGGTGTCTACTGTCTGTTTGGTGTTGGGCTTTTTTTTTCCTCTTGGAAAAAAGGTAAGGGCCACTTGCTGGAGCTTCTCATTGGCGCTCTATTCCACAGAGGTTAACCTTAACAGGAAATCTGGCATATGTTGACCCTTAATTCTGTGCATTAAGACAGATTTGAATACAGTAATTGCTTGTAGGACTTAACAAAAGGAGGAGAGAAATGGATAGAAAGGCAGTGAGAGTGTTCCATTAGAAACAGGCAGGAAGGAGGGGGGAAAAAGCTTTCTGAGCCACCTTCCAGGTGAGCATTCAGATGTAGGGACAGGGTGGGCAAGAGTGTGGGCTCTTACATTGGGGCCTTCTATTGATGATAAACCAGGAAAAAGCTGCCGGGATTGGAGGCTGGTTGGAATTTCCTATGTAGGTCTGATGTGCAAGGCTCCACCTAGTCTTTAATCATGATCTCCAGATTAATTTGATCGTGTACCCCCTTCTACCTTTGAGTCTGGCGAAGCCGTGTGTGCTAGGTCCTGCTCTCCGGAACCAACACAAGCCTCGGGGGTCCTGTGTCGCTGTGTGGGGTGAGACGGATTTTGTTTGCGCTTTATACCACGTTTTAAAGGACAG